ACTTCATCAAAAGCTCTTCTCGCAATTGTTAAAATTTTGTATCTCAATATCTTATTGTGATTAGAGTTTGTTATTTTTGGTGAGTTCTATGATCCTTTGTGAAAAATAGGAGTAATAAACAAATATATGGAGAAAAATATCCAATAAATTGGTTCATGTGAGAAAGCATATAAGGTACCTGTGAGCAAGTGAGGGATGCCTGGGAATGTTGTCGACTGGGTAGCTCCTATATACAGTGTGCGTCAACAGTTGAAAGAATCCCTCTAAGGTTGGGATAACGAAGAGGCTGCTGCAGACTGTGCAGGGTGTTCTGTATCAGTGGTATTTGTATGTTTGAGTTGGAGAGAATTTCCTGCGAAACAAAGTGAGTATTTAGGAATATTGAATTGTGGCAAAGTGAATATGAAATAAGCTACAACTACATACGGAACACAAGAAATGAATGAGTAATTATATTACAGGGAATATTTTCTTTCCTTTTGGCAATGAATTTGTGTGGACAAGTATTGAGGGAAATGAAAGCGAAGTCATATAAAACCTGTGAATACCGAACACGTGAGGATAGACCATATGTCAGAAATGAGAAAACGTTTAAGCAGGAAAACTAAGGTTGAGATGAATGCGGGAATATCCATGTAAGCCCATTGAGACAAAGCGGGAAAAAAAGATTTGCTGCAAAAATTAGATGCAAAGGAAGGATACAGCTTTCAAATATATTTGGTGGGGGTAAATATATAAACAGCAAACATGTAGCAGAAACAAATGATGACCTTTTGTATGATTCACACACAAACGAATACGTTGTAGAAAATCTGTGGGAAAAGACAATAAATTTTGTTAGTTTGGATTTTGAAGATAGTACAAAAGTTTGGCAAGTTTGTAGAAATTTTCTGTCCTTGTGTAGGAATACAGGACATAGGAAGTAACAAAAGAAACAGCAACTAAACAATGCTTTCTCCTTTGAATTGACATTCGGAAACAAAACTAAAGTAAAGGATGAAAGTTGTATTTTGTATTATAGTGTTTCTTTTTCTTATGTAGTTTTTTGCGTACTATGTGAGTGTAAGCAAAGGATGGAAGAAACATGTAAATTTTACTTAAACCATGAAGAAGTACCTACGCAGGTTGTCCGAGAGAAACATAAATCTTCAGGAAAGGTTGAGAGACAGATTTAAAGGCTCTATAGAAATAGAAAACAGTAAAGAACAGATGGAGTACCTGAGCAGGTCATCCGACAGAAAGCGAAATGTTGAAGAAACGTTCAGAGAGGAATTTATAGGCTGCAGACAAACCGAAAACAGTAAAGAACAGATGGATTCGCCATTGAAGAGTTCAGAGGTAGAACTTAGAGTTCAGAGGGAGAGAAATTAGGGTCGCTTAAACGATGAAGAAGTACCTGCGCAGCTCGTAGGAGAGAAACAGAAATCTTCAGCAAAGCTTCAGCGACAGATTTAAAGTCTGTAGAGAAAGAGAAAACAGTAAAGAAGAGATGGAGTGGACATTGAAATTCCGGTTAAACGACGATGAAGAACCTGCGCAGTTCGTCGGAGATAAACAGAAACCTTCACCAAAGCTTGAGAGAGATGTAGACAAACAGAAAAGAGCCAAGAACACAGGCTGTATATACGATTTGTGTTGGCAGTTGAAGCAATCGCTCTAAGGTGACGGTAATGAAGATGCTGCTGCATACGGTGCAGGCCATTGTATATCACTGGTATCTGAAATTGTGTACATTATGAGAAAAAGCACATAACGTACCTGTGAGAACGTGTGGGATGTGTGTCAATCTTGTGGACTGGCTAGCCGGTATATACGGTTTGCGTGAGGAGTGGAAGCAATCCCTCTAAGGTGGTCATAATGAAGAGTCAGATGCACAGCCTGCACACTGTTCTGTATCAGCGTTATTTCTATGTTTTAGCTGTGGGCAATCTCCTGTGAAATAGAGTTACTATTTAGGAATATTGAATTTGAACAATTGCAATAGGAAATAAGTTAGAACAACATATGGAACAAACGAAAGGACTCATGAATTAAATTATATGAAAGATTAATTTGATTGGCCATTAAATCACTTTTGCTTTTGTATAAGCAGGTGTATTGCGCTTATTTCTTAGCAAAGCAGCTGTAGAGGCAAATGTTGTATTCTTCCTCTTCCTACCACTGATTTCTTTCTAATTTTTACCTGTACATTTCATTTGCATTTGCAGAACAAATTGCATACATTTTTTGATGTGATAATGAGGCAAACACAAGCTTTAAAGTCATGAAGATATAGACTTCATCAAAAGCTCTTCTCGCAATTGTTAAAATTTTGTATCTCAATATCTTATTGTGATTAGAGTTTGTTATTTTTGGTGAGTTCTATGATCCTTTGTGAAAAATAGGAGTAATAAACAAATATATGGAGAAAAATATCCAATAAATTGGTTCATGTGAGAAAGCATATAAGGTACCTGTGAGCAAGTGAGGGATGCCTGGGAATGTTGTCGACTGGGTAGCTCCTATATACAGTGTGCGTCAACAGTTGAAAGAATCCCTCTAAGGTTGGGATAACGAAGAGGCTGCTGCAGACTGTGCAGGGTGTTCTGTATCAGTGGTATTTGTATGTTTGAGTTGGAGAGAATTTCCTGCGAAACAAAGTGAGTATTTAGGAATATTGAATTGTGGCAAAGTGAATATGAAATAAGCTACAACTACATACGGAACACAAGAAATGAATGAGTAATTATATTACAGGGAATATTTTCTTTCCTTTTGGCAATGAATTTGTGTGGACAAGTATTGAGGGAAATGAAAGCGAAGTCATATAAAACCTGTGAATACCGAACACGTGAGGATAGACCATATGTCAGAAATGAGAAAACGTTTAAGCAGGAAAACTAAGGTTGAGATGAATGCGGGAATATCCATGTAAGCCCATTGAGACAAAGCGGGAAAAAAAGATTTGCTGCAAAAATTTGATGAGTTTACGAACGGGCAATAGGATTAAATCTAACATTAACATGAAATAGATTTACAGAGCTTCAGATCGAAAAAGGGAAAAACCATCACAAAATAGAAGAGTTTGAAAGCGTAAACAATAGCGGAAAGACAAATGGAAAAAGCATTGTAAGCAGAATGTTTGAAGCATTGAAAGGGTGTGGTTTGATGGTGAACACAGTGTAATAGACCAATACATGCAATTATTCATCAGAAGTTTGCAGTACATGCATACAGTGTAATATGGCTTAATATAGTGTACAGGCGCGAATTTAACAATCAGAGAAAGAGCAAAACAGAACACAAATTAGAAATGGGAGAAACAGCAAAGGATGGAAGAAACATGTAAATTTTACTTAAACCATGAAGAAGTACCTACGCAGGTTGTCCGAGAGAAACATAAATCTTCAGGAAAGGTTGAGAGACAGATTTAAAGGCTCTATAGAAATAGAAAACAGTAAAGAACAGATGGAGTACCTGAGCAGGTCATCCGACAGAAAGCGAAATGTTGAAGAAACGTTCAGAGAGGAATTTATAGGCTGCAGACAAACCGAAAACAGTAAAGAACAGATGGATTCGCCATTGAAGAGTTCAGTTATCTTTGTATCTTTCAAGTATGTTAGTGTCGTCTTCAACTTAACCATTCATTCAGAAGGTGCTAATACAAGTGAAAACTAAAATCTGAAATCAATCTAGGTGAATTGAAAATATATATTTTTTCTCAAAAAATTATGAAACTTTATAGAATAAGTAGGCTCTCGGTTACCCTTCTTTCCTTTACTTTCGTTTATTCAGCAAGGAAAACTAATGAACCAAAATATAGTCTATGCAATTCTTATTTTCCTTCAAAATTGCCAGAAGCCCCAAATTACAGAAAGGAACAAAAACTAGAAATAGGAAGTAAAAGGGACCGAAGAACAGTAAAGGAGTTTCTCAGGTAAAGAAGTTGGATTAAATGAACAAATATAAGAAAGAAATGAAGAAAACCCAATTAATTATCAGATTTAAATTCAGGTCACGTGCATAACCCACTGGTCTATTAAAAAACTAACTGTGGTTAAGATTGGAGACTGAAAATGCACCACTTTATTAAAGAATCATGACTATTAATGCTCCACTAAAGAGAAATAGGACTATTTTGAGTCTAAACTCAAAGATAATGGACTATTTTAAGCCTTTCCCCTACTAATTTTGATACAAGATTTGGGTGACAATGAAACAATAGAAAATTTATTATTTTTCTGTTTCAATATAAATGTCATTTTAATTCAATTCACATCCACAAAAAAAAATACAAGATATTCTTCTTATTTATTTTTATTTGTTATATTTAAATTCAATATATATGTTAAGAATATAGTGAAGCGCAGTCAAACATGATTTTTAGAGATAAAATTTGTGGTGTCAACCCATCAGATTTATCGTTTTTCTAATTTCTTCTCTCGTCAAGTGTGGAAGATTACCTTTTGATTTACCAGAAGCAGAAGAAGAATTAGTACCAGGGTATCAAACCAAATTTGATTTATTTTACATTGCTTCATATCTTAATAATTAACATGATTATTTTACTACATTATCCTATTGATTAATATTTTGTATTACTTCTTAAAATTGATTTGGTGATAAATAATTAATGTTAGGAGTAAAATATATTTTTAAAATATACAATTATCTTTTCTTGATTTATTACAAGTAATAGGTAAAATATAGTGAATAAGTAAAGATGAACATAAGGAGTACTTCTTTCGTTTTAATATATTTTTCATATTTGATCAGACACATAGTTTAACAAAGTAAAGAATTTATTTGAATATTGTAGTCTTAAGCTAAAAATATGTCAAATATACTAAAGAAAAAATTTAACTTTATAATTTTAAACATATCATGTAAAATGTTAAAATTAAAGAGTTGCTAGAAAAAAAACTTCTTTTTACAACGGACATAAAAAAAATTAGAACAAATAAAGTGAAATAAATGAAATATAATGTATTCATATTTATTACTGTAGATATTTCTTTGGAATGGGGCATAGTACTTATGCTATAGATAGAAATTATGTTTCCTATAAAGTCTTTTGCAATATTTATTTTAGGGAAAAGACTCTGAAAAATAATTCAACTTTGATCGAAATTACTGTTATGATACCAAATTTTATGGAGAACCTTTTACCCTTGCACTATTTAATAGTGTATTTTAAAAATATATATGTGCCCACGTGGACACATTACTATTTAAAATGATGCAATATTTATAATGTCCACGTAGACACATATATACCTTTAAAATACACTATTAAATAGTACAGGGGGTAAAAGGTCATTTCTAAAATTTGGTATCGTAACAACAATTTCGACCAAAATTAAATTATTTTTCAGACCATTTTCCCTTTATTTTACTATTGCAACGATTTCAATGCTCTATTGAAACGATTTTCATATCGTTTTTATAAATCTTATGCAACACTATTTTACAATTGCAATGGTTATTACTGTATTGGGTTGATTTTTAAATCTTTTTTATAAAGTTTTACACAACACTTAATTTTATTATTGCAACGATTCTTATTAAAATATTGCAGTGATTTCAGCACTATATTGGGATAATTTTTTCAAATATTCGTATAAAGTCTTATGTAATACATAAGTTGTTTTTTAGCCAAGTAGAGAATAGTTTGGGGGAAAAAGAAATTTGACTATCGAAATAATAAATATAAAAAATTATAAAAAGTAAATTTTAATTTATTTATTTTTTCACTCCATTAAATCAAAATGACTCTTTTTTTCAACTCTAAATTGCAAAATTAAAATATGCAACTTTTTTCAACTCTAAATCGCAAAATTAAGTTATATCAAGCTCCTTTCCCTTTATTATTTAAAAGAAATAAGACCATTTTTTTTGCTTGAGATGTAATTATTGACATATATATTATATTATTAATTAAAGAAACTGGAGTAAGGAAAAGGGAAAGGGCTATTTCCGAATTAAATTTTTTTAAATAAATAAATAAATTATTTTCATGCTCAAACATCCACGTAATATTCCCAAAAAAATATTCGAAGATCTAAACCATAGAAAATTCATTATTTCTACGTTTCAAAATAAATGTTATTTTAATTTTTGTTACATCTTGTTAAGTAGTTCATTCACGTAAAAGCATAATGGAAGACAATAACTATTTTTGTCCTAAATCTATAAAATACAACTTATTTTAAAATAGTCTATTTTTTCGCTAAAATAATAGTACTTGTTTTAGAAAGAAAGATAATATAATTCACCCTCTAGTCCATATTAGAATTTTTCCTCATAACAAATAAGTGAATTATTCAAAATTTAAAATAATTATCAATATATTTTTTATATTTATCTTTCATCTAATGGTGTTCTTAACTATTCTTTAATTTTTAGGAAAATAGTCTAAAAATAATCAAAAAAAAATCGGTAGAAAATAGTCTTTTATTTATTTCCAAAAATATATTATATCTCAATAATTTACTTAATATAAACGAAAGGGTATATATATTTCTCCACTTTATTTTCATGTTGTCACGCTGAACGAAGAGATGACCATTAATGTAGCAAATAATTGAGCACATGGCCTCTTAAACAAGTTTGCACTGACAAAATGAAATTTAACTAAATATTTTTGCAAGTTTAAAAAATGAGATAAACTAATATTCATTGAGTGGACACTGTATTTTTGAAGTTTAAAAAATGAGATTAACTAATATTCATTGACGATGGACACTAAAATTATACGATTGATTTTTTTTAATTAAATAATAAATATTACTTATTATATCTAAATAAAAATGACAAAAGAATATTAAAAGTAAATTGGACTCTAAATTAATTATGCAAAAGATTATTTAGGATTCTTCCTTTGGCTTATCAAAAATAGGAAAGATCCTTTTCTTCGCGCATGTTCATTCTCATTAATTTTAGGCTCGTCAAATATCATTGAAGCAATTCACATACATCATTAAAACAATTTGAGATATATTTATATATATAAAGGTGTATGGATTATATACCAATCAAATGAGTGCTCGATTATATAGCAAGTAGACTACGTAGATTTTGATTTGTCTCTTGTTACAATGCAAAAGTTGGTATGGAGATTATTAAAAAAAAAATGGCAAGAGAATCTATTTAAGAAAAAATGTATTTTTTCAGATTTTAAGAAAAAATAAAGGGAGGAAAAGAAGAACCATATAATATAATGGAGTTCTAAACTAATTGAATTAATTAATTTGTTATTTTTTTCTTCCACTGTTCTTCTCGTATAAATTATTGTCCGTATGCAATAAATAGACTTGATTTTTATAGATGAAAATGACTCTCATGGTTTTTCTTCTTCTGTCACAATTTAATTTAACAAGAAAGAAAATATATTATAAATTTTTACTCCATATTTTTCACAAAATAACCGCATGAATCACGATAAAGTTTACTAGTCGAAAAATGATAAGCTAGTAATAACAATAGCTGATTTTGAACACCATTAAATATAATACTGTTTTTCTTTTTTAAAAAAGGATTGGGTCAAGAGTATTCGAGACTTAATATATAATCAACTACTATAGTTCTCTAACTAGGATAATTTGAATTTGACATTCTTATAAAAATTTCATGAATTTGCGGAATATTCGAGACGCCTTTTTAAGGGAATATAGTTCCCTTTATTAGACATGAACTAGGGTTTAGGGTAGAGTGGCCTCCAAGAATTCTAATTGAAATTGAACACACCTTTTAGAGTCCAAATTCGAATTGAACATGTAGAGTCCCACAAAATTCTAGTGTCTACAAATGTCCCTTGCTTCAAGGCATGTCAGGGTGTAGAATTGATAAAACTTAAAGACGAGACTTGAAGTACTCATTCTTCGACCTTTGCGGTTTTGTGACTTCATATTTGTAGAATTGATTGTGAGAGAAGAGATGATTTGATCCTACTAGGCGTACCAATTTGTTTCCAATAAATTTTAAGTGACAAAATATATTGCAATCACAAATAAAACATGAAGAAACATATCTTTATTCATAAATAGTGCGGGTACAATTTTGTTTCTCCCTTTATTCTTCCCTCGTCCATGATTTGAGGGCCGACGTTTGTGGCGTATTTCTCAAAGTAGGATGATTTGAATTTGATTGAATATTTCATGAATTTGCAGAATATTCAAGACGTATTTTCAAGGAATATAGTACCATTTATATAAGTATGAGCTAGAATTTAGGGTTGAGTATCCTCTAAGAATCCAAATTGAAATTGAAAAGACCTTATAGAATCCTTATTCGAATTAAACACATCTTGTAGATTCCACAAAGTTTCAGTGTTCACATAATCATCATTACATTCTTATATCTTTGCATCTACTTCTAATCTTGGACTAAATCTTATTTTCCTAAACTAAATTTGAAAATTAAAAAAAAAAAAAAAAAGCGTTAAAGAAGTGTAAATATATAATTCTTCCACAATTTAATAAAAATTTCCAAATTCAAATATTTTATATATATATATATATAATTTTTTAAGGAACGCTTCTCCGTTATACGGGGACCTTACTGCAAATTC